CTTCGGCAAAGTATTGCTCAGTTTCTAAAAGTCGGACATTTGTGAGCATTTTTGTTAGAAGTTTGATATCGATTTTTTGGAAGACCTTTCAGCGTCGCGCAAATATTTTCAAAGCACAAATTTATAGGTTTCAGGTTACGGCGAGTCTGAAACTTTGCTTTAAAACAATTGCAAACTTTTTGGAAGGGGTTTTTGAAGCCTGGGTCTCTGGAAATCCCCTAAAAAACCTTTGAAAAACCTTCCACGACTCACCGCTAACCGGATTGGAAAGATAATTGAGAACAATATTGTTCAATCTGTTGCTCAAGAGGTTAATAACCGATTATGTTGTTTTTGAGATCTTCAAGAATAATTTTTCTAAATGTTGTATAATGTTAATTAAAGTGACGGTAACCCACTCGGGTTACGATTTAGATAACAGCTTATTAGTAGTGAGATTAAATATCACATTTTTGCCCAATATGAATTGCTCATACAATAGTTTAATACAACTTATACATGTACTGACGTACTCAGGAGTTTCAGAGGAGAGGGCAAAAAAATTTCTTTTCGTTTTTTCAGCGATTTTTAAGACATTTTTTTCACTCTAAGTTTCTTTTTTTCTTTCCGTAGTTGGGATTTGCGTCCAGTCCCCCCTTTCTGTTAGATATTTCTCTTTGCACATGCAAGCTGCATTGTTAATCTTTTGCTCTCCTCCTCTCTGCTCGTTTTTGGCCTTTCGACTCTTACAAGAAAATTTTCTGGTACAGGTGGTATGAATTAATTTGCCAGTGGGAATGACCTACACTCAGCCATATGCTGGGTACGTCGCTCTAAGCATACTTTAAGAGGACAGCTGAAGCTCAAAACTAGTATTCGCAGCGTGATTTCCGGATATCCAAGGCGTAATGGGGTGCAGCCTATGACTCGCAACTGAGAAGCGTCAAAGGAAAAGAGAGGTTGACACTGGCCCAAAGGAATCTCTGTTAACTCAATGAATACCAACGATTTAGATGCATTGATTCAGGCATCGGAAAAGATGAAATAAAATTCACCTTCTTTCACTGTAGTGACATTGAGAGAGCTTTCTTTTTTAATAAAAAGTAAACTGAATGCGACATGATAGCTGCCCTATTCTTTTGGCAAAACGGGAAAAGTCATTTGACAGAATAAAGAGTATATAATACTGCTACGAAGAACGTTTTAGATTAATAAAAATCCACTTGAACTATTTATTTCAAGTTTTCGATGAGTGCTTCGACCATCGTCATGAAACAACAGGACAAGAAAATTAGTACTATTGTATACGTACCCAATAATAGTAAATCTGCCTGAAACTAGAAAAAGAGAGTGACAACTTGAACACACCGTGAAAACATGAATAAAAAGAAATGTGATGAAACCATATATACGTGTATAAATAAAAGTTATTCTCTGTGTATTTTAGCTTGAAAACTCAAGTATGGACAAAACTCGAGAATTTGATGAATTGTTAAATTCAATTGATAGACTGATCCAAAAAAATGTTTCTTCATTTGAAGTTTATGATTTGTGCGATCGTGTTAAAAGTCGAATTGATAACCTATTTGAAGGGAGAAATGATGAACTACACAAACGTTATCGTCATTCCTTTCACGTTAAAAGATCGGCTTATTCTCGTCAGGTTGGTAATGACGAGGATACAATTGTTCATGAAAAATTATCAAAAATATATAAACCCGAACAAAGTAAGGAACGAAATATAACACCAGAAACGATACGGTCTGAAATCCCCTATAATGTGCTGGTTACATGGGAAGACATTAAATCTTGTTTAAACCAACTTGTATTATTACTGAAAGTGAATGATCCAGAAATCTTAATTGAACGCATCGAAAAGTTACAGACAGCTATCATTCGATTATTAGAAAATAACATCCGATCGTTTGAACAATACGAGATAATCCATATTAATTGTTCGGACATACAAAAGTTATTACATGTAGTCATAGAAGAAATGAGGAGAGCTGACTTGGACATGGTAAGTGGAAGTGTAAAAAGTCCGTTAGAAGAGTTTGAAGTGTCTCTTACTGAACTAATTCAGTGTATTGATGATGGATTATTGGATAGACGTGTTAATTTTGTAAATTATATTCTTTCTGATATTCCTACTCTTCAGGCTACATGTTTCCCTGATGCAGCTTCTCTTACAAAAGAGCGAATCGAATCGATTCACATACAATGGATAAAGTTTTTTCATCCGGATAAAAACAAAAGTTATGAGCCCTTGTTTAACGAACTAACAAAATATCTTAACAGTGAACGAGATTTGCTGTTAAATAATATCACACAAGAAATTGGCGATTCCTATACAGTTGAATATTATTGTAACGAGGGTCTTACTCTGTGGGAGAAAGCAGTTGATTACACACATATATTAAACAACAGAAAATCGAATTTGAAACATTTAACACCGGAAATGTATGAAAATTTAACTGAA